AGCATTGGACAGAGAGGACTATACTTAGTATGAAGGTCATGGAGAAAAATTGAGGAATTCTTATTTCTGATAACAACAGAGATATATGTCAGGATGAGCAGGGTTCCCAGGTCTGGGGAAAGGGTAGAAATGAGACCCACACACCACCCATCTTCTCATCCAATCTACCCCAAGCCAGGCAAACTCTGCCTTCAGGTGCCCCCAACACCTGCTTCTCCCACCTCCCTCCAAGGCCAGGTTCAGAATTCTTGGGCTCCCAGGGTTCCTTGCCAGAAAGCAATGGTAAGAGCAGAATACTCCTGGCTACAGCCCTGCCCCTACACTTCTCATCTCTGGTTGTGCCCCACAGCAGCCAGGAGACATAGTCTTCCTTGGGTCTCTCATGCTCCTGCATGCTGTACTGACTATGCCATGACTGTAAGGCCCTGACTTTTCTTTTCCATGGGACACAACATGGGTTATTTATGAAGCTGGTAACCTTGAGAGATGAGGTAATGCCTCCCCTTGAGTGGAAAAGCAGGCTTCTTTACTGCCTGCTATAAAAGCAGTGGATTCCCCGAGCTCAGGGTTTCTTAACTGTGCACAGAAACCCACTGAAAACACTGCCATCTACCCAGATCCATCATGGAACCTGAGGGCAAGGAGAATTGATGCCCATGCTGCTGTTGTGCTGGGAGTAATAAAGTCCTTTGTCTCTGACCCAGGAGTCTCAGGACTTCTGTAAATCGGACCAAATGCAACCCCAGATCTGACACACACAGTGCAGGATTCCAGGCACACACTGCCGAGGTTCAAACTCCATACTCAGTGATCACAAAGAGCAGCCATTGGTTTAACAGACATCACCCTCTGATGTCCTGGTCAACCCTTCATAGAACAGATTTTGTTTGAGTAGAGATCCACAAAGGCCCTGCAAATGGACTAAGACCCTTGGAGCAGGGAATTCCAGCGTCCCAGGTCCCAGGGTATGGTCTGAATGGATACAGCAAGAGCTCTGGATAGACACATCCCCTTGGCCCTGCTGACCACTCATCCCGTCCAGAGGGGTGTGGCTAGAAGAGAGCCAGGGCCCTCAAAGGCAAGGCCCTCTTGTTCAGGTCTAAACTTGGCCCTGTGCTTCGGAAGGGCAGTGTCCTCAAAGGAGAAAGGGGCACAGCAGACCAGAAACCAAGGTAAGTAGCCGAATGAGCCCCATTCTACCTCTAAATGTCTGGATGGCCTTAATCTCACTGGGCCTCAGTTTCCCCTTCTGAGAAATGAAGTAAATTGAAGTTAAATAAGATGATTTCTAAAATACAACTAAAATCTAAGCTCTCTATGATTCTACAAATCACAAAAAGAAGGACTCCCAGCAAAATAAAAGAAGAATAGAACAAACTGAGTCACAAATCCCGAAAACTGCAAAGCTGGGCAGTGTGTGTATCACTTGTGCAGAAGATTATAAAGGGGAGACACAGGGTTTCTCAGGAATGAGACCAGGGCAGGGCCAGAGAGCCTGCACCTTAGGAGCTGGGGAGTGATATGCCCAAGCCTCGCCTACACTTCATAAGTGAAAATGCATTTCCTGATTGAGCGTAGGAGGGAGGCCCCCCGGGAAGCTCTCTCTCATCTCACACATTTCCTGAGGACAGAAATTAGTGGATCGCCTCAGCAGAAGTGCGAAGGTGCTTTCACACCGTCTCAGCTCGGTGCCAGAGGCCCCGGAGGAAGGCTGCAGGAGGGTTTAGAGGACCTCAGCTCCTCTCTGTCCCCGTCTTCTTCCAGTTCTGAGCTCAGCTAATAGGGCCTTTCCACCTAGAAACCTACACTGTGCTAGGTGGCTGCTGCCGAGGACGGTATAGACCAAAAGATTCGGAGCTGACTCTCACCTGAGCACTCGTTTTCATCTGGATGGAAAAGTCCCTGTGGCGTGCAGCACAGAAATAGTAATGTTAGAGGCAGAAATAGAATATTGGGGACTAGCTGTCAGTTGTAAGAAGTAAAATAAGGAATGTTAATCATGCCGTTAAGCCTGAGTGTTTCGTTCTGATTTAAGAAAGCACGGTGTAACCTGGCTGGGAGTGGTACCTGGGAGCTCACTTGGAAGTGCAGCCCTTCCTCCCCATCAGGGAGCTGCCTGTAATCATGGGAAGATTAACAGCCTGGCTGCAAAAACCAGAGGTGCCAGCCCTTTGCAAACTCCGAGCCCTTTGCAAAACTCCAGCCCACACAGCCTGTAAACTGTAACCATCACACCCATTGTGCATGTCCATTCCTATTCCTTTTGCCCACTTCCCCGTGTAATCTTTGTCCTTCTACCCAGTATAAGCAGCTGCTTTGGGGTGGGGGTGGGGGAGCGAAGATTTTTGTGGATGACCTGCTGCTCTGAGAAATGAAGTGATTAGAAGTTAAGTAAGATGATCTCTAAAATACCACTGAAATACTTCTTTCCCATCCTGCCGGCATTATTGGAATAAATGCTCATATATGATTCAACCCTGTCTCTGCTGAATTGGCTCAAATAGTGCCAGGAAGCCCAGACCCGGTTGTCTGGTTTCAGTATCACGAAAGAGGTATCATTTTTTTCTTTAATTTGGTCAATGATGAAATTCTCATTCACCTTTCCCACCATGTCCTGTCAGGAAGTGATGGCACCCAAGGTGCCCCATCCCGCTTCTGGTGACCCAGGTTCCCAGTCCCTCCACAGTCACCTCTACTTCTGCCCGGCTACCTCCAAAGGACACCACCACACGAAGCGTAAACAGAATGCAAACACAGGTGTGCGTGCATGAGGCCCAGCCCTGTACTTATTCCAAACACGGGGCCACCTACACGATGTCACGTGAGGAAAGGGACCAAAAGTCTCCCCTTACCACACACCCAAAACACCAACTCCTCAGGCCTGGTGGAGGGCAGGACACTATCACGGTTCACATCATGGTCACATTGGCTAGAGCAGTGCCCTTGGAGCAAGGCAGGCCTTGGCAGGGAGCGGGGAAATGGGAGAGAAGTCAGAGGGAAGGCAGGCCCGCATCCCTGTGGCATCAAGAGCAGCTCTGCTTTCATTTCCTGAGCTTTTGAGTCAAAACACACTGAAAGCTGCTGGGCTTAGTAACGACAACCCTAGGATCTCCCTGGCACTATTATCTGTGGAAAGATGGCAGATCCATCAGCTGTCAGCCGTTATCGCCATAAAAGGTTTGTCTTCCAGGAAAGGTAAGTCTTGAAGGGAGAAAACATGCAAGGAGAGCACAGGTGGGGGAAGTCCCTACGAGTGAAGGCTCCTGCGAGTCAGAGAGGGACCATGGACGGAGGTGGTTTTCCCAGGGAAGGGCCAGCAGGCTGAATGGCTCAGAAAGGCTCCACTAGGAAAGAAGCCAGAAGGAAGCCCATCACTGACTCTCAGAGAACAATATGAGATATGCAGACCCCGTGCTCAAATATACCATACGTTCCTGTACCTCATGTTATGTAATCTTTAATACCATATAAACATAGCTACGGCTATTATTTAAAAACAATTGGCAAAACGCAGGTTGCTGTTCCATGGAATCAGATGTGCCAACGTTCCTCAGATGGTGGCTCTTTACCAAATCTGATAGGAATAAGGATTCTGTAGTGATTTAAAAATATGGCCATCATATTTTGTTAAATGGAAATTATTCTTAAAAAAAAGAATATGTACAATAGAAATGTATCCAAGTATACAATATTCAAAATTTATAAAAAATATTCCAAAATGTAAATATTTGTTTGGTTAAAAAGACTGCAATAAAACAATTGACTACATTTTCTTGTGTGTGTGTGTGTGTGTGTGTGTGTGTGTGTGTTTTACAATTGCCACGTGTGGTTTTGTTGTTTTACGGTCAGCCTGGAGAGGAAAGGAGATGACCCTTTATCACAAAAACCCACTGCTCTGATCGCAGCACAGCTTGTGCCATGCCTCTGCTGTCCCCATGTGGCTTTTAGAAGATATAACATGCAAAGCCTCCAGACAAACGCCAAGGTTATCTTATATAGATTTCTTTCACAAGTTCATGACCTGGACTTGTCCCACTCAGAAATACCAGCCTTCTAAGGCAGGAAGTGCTAGGACAGGGCGGGTGTGTGAATTCCTACCTGCTCCTGATGCTAAAGAGTTGGATACTGACCCTGTTGAGGAGGTCAGGGTCCAGAGAACCACTCCAGCAGGAGTGAGGGTGGAGAAAAGAAAGGATGAAGCCTCAGGAACTAATGGCCAACGGTGACCCTGAAAGTACAGTGGCATTGGAGCATCTCGTTTGCCTCAGGGGGTCAAGGTGAGCCACCGGAGCCAGTGACGGTGAGTTACTTCTGCTGTCTGTCTACAGAGTACCTGAGGCCACTGCCCTGCTCTGCCATATGAGGGTGCATTCCCAGAAATACAGAGGGAAGTTCAGGGGGTTCACAGTGTCCATTATTTCCCCTCCTGATAGTTTTAACTTACAATTAATCAGTCTGCTGTTTGAGCAACAAACCATGACTTGATGTTATTATCAAATGACAGGCACATAGATTTAACCTGGTCCTTTAGCATTTGCAAAATTGTTTCAAGGCATTAATGCTAAGCCTTAAAATAATGACCATGTTGCTTATCTAAAAGTCAATTTTCCTCTGCTTGAATTGTCAGAATTAGCGTCTTCATCAGTCCCACGTGTTTTAGAAAAGACAAAGAACATGTAGGTGCATATGTGTGTATGTGTGTGTACATATGATCACACGTATGTGTGCACATATATGTATTAATGTATGTGGTGTGTGTTACTTGTGCGCGCACGTGTGTCTCTCTGTGTGTGACTGCATGTGTGTGTGCGCATGTGTGCATTTCATGTATATATCTGATTCTATGTGTGGTAGGGTACAGCCGTGCTGAGCATCCTGATATAACTATACTTTCAATGTGATCTCCACTTTCCTTCTAGCCCTGGTCCTGGATCTCTCTGCTCCCTTCTTCCCACTTCCCATCAGGCAGCTCAACCAGCTCTCACTCCAGCAACACTTACCTGTTGGTGTTCTCCAGAACCTCAACCTTCTTCCGAAGCTCCAAATTCTCCGTTGAACAAGACTCCACCCTGCACAGGGAACAGAAAGAAGCAAATGCGTTGCTCAGCTCCTATCCAGGAGCTCAGGTGGAGGTAACTTGGAGCAGAGAAAGAAGATCAAGTCCCAACTACCCCAGGCAGGTGAGGGAAAGAGCATGGACAACCTAAACTGGGAAGAAGGGTGAGAAGACAGGAGAAAAAAAAATAGTTTAGTAATAAGTGCCTCAGTGATAAAAAATGAACAGGATGGTCCAAAATGTGAACTTCTCCTGGGTATTGCAACCTTGTTTTCTCTCACCTCTTCCCTACCGCTCTCAACGCCCATCACACTTCTCTCTCTGGACTACGGGGTCTGGGTGCTGTCAGCAGTACTCCTGGCCAGAAGGACTCATCGGAAGCCAACAGGCTTAGGGCGGGGCAAAAGGGGAGGAGAGGAACCCAGGACCTCAGAGAAGGAATCCGGGCACTGGAGCATGCGTGCCCCAAAGAGACAAAAAAAGAGAGGTTTCCATAGAAACTTCTTATCCCTGGATGATTACAGAATTGATGGGACAGAATGGGACTGCTTAAGGAAAACTAACTTTCAGTAGAAACTTCAAGAACCAGCCAGGATTCACTGGCCACTCCTCCCCCCAGGTACCCATGAAGCTTCGTTTCTGGGTCTGGGGCCTCATTCCCATCTAAAAGCGAAGTTAGCTTGTCTTGTCGGCCAGAGCACTGTTTTCTAGGGCCAGTACATAATTGTATTTAATCATACTTCCTAACAGCCCTTCTGAAGTTCCAGGCTTTTCAGAAGAGAAAAGGCTGCCTTTAAGTGTGAGAATCCTCTTGCCTGTCGCCTGCCTCACAGTGGGCAGGAAATAACAAGGCCAACTAGACCTTCCATCTCCTGCTTTCCCTTAGGCATGGCTCTGATTAATCAGCTGTGCTCCCTCTGGCTGTGCCAGGGGCGTGACTGTGAATACTTATTTAAGAGGAAGCCTTCAGAGACAGGAAGATCTTTGGTTGGAAACAGATCCAAATCCTACTAAGATCATGTGCCTGGGCTGACCTTGAGAATATCATGCTAAGTGAAGTAAGTCCGGCAGGGAAGGTTAAGAACTATGTGACTTCACTTCTCTGTGGGATATAAAACTGAAAGCAACAAATGAGCACAAGAAAAACAAACAAACAAAAACCCACAGACACAGTCCACAGTATGGTGGTTCCCAGAGGGAAGGGGGTGGGGTAAGTGAAGGGGAGAGCACTTTAAACAAATAGTGATGGAAGAAGATCGGACTTTGGGTGGTGGGCACACAATGCAATGTACAGATATGTACTGTTGAACTGTATATTGGAGACATAATCTCATTAGCCAATGTCACCCCAATAAATTTAATTTAAATAAAAGGTTGAGCCAAAACCGGTCTGGCTCAGTGGATAGAGCATCGGCCTGTGGACTGAAAGGTCCCGGGTTCGGTTCCAGTCAAAGGCATGTACCTTGGCTGCAGGCACATCCCCAATAGGAGGTGTGCAAGAGGCAGCTGATCGATGATTCTCTCTCATAGATGTTTCTAACTCTTTATCCCTCTCTCTTCCTCTCTGTAAAAAAATCAATAAAATATATTAAAAAAAAAAAAAAAAAAAAAAAAAGATTGAGTGTACTTTTGCTTCTTGCCATTCTATAAGCTTTGCCTTTGAAAACCACTAGGTGTCAGGCGAAACCCAGCTGATGAAGCCAGGAGTTCCCGCTGGCCGTGGGCAGGACTCAGCTCTGCACACCCACTCCTCTGCGCACACTGCCCAGTAGATGCACCAGCCCGGCAGGGACCTACTTCTTCTCCAGGCTGTCCATGTACTCCTTCTTCTTTCTCCTGCTCTCCTGCGCAGAAATCTGGGATACAAAGGGGGGCAGGAGGGGGAAAGGATTAAACTCCAGTTATATCAGAAAGCCAGCCATGTCAAAGGAAGAGAGGAGGCTGCTAGCACAGAAATCACGAGAGCCCTGCTCACTTTTGTGGCCACTCCTCACTTCTTTAACACAGAACAATGGTCTGCAGAAGTTTTTTAATTAAACAAAAACACCCACAATACTTAAAAAAAAAAAAAAAAAGATTAAGTAAGTACCCATGAGTATTTACATTTATTTATAAATTACAGGCAGACTGGGGGAAATAGGTGAAGTAATCGATGAGTACAGAATGGTAGTTATAAACAGTCATGGGGATATACTGGTAAAGTACAGCCCAGGAGATATAATCAGTAACAGGGTAACAACTATGTAGGATGCCAGGTGGGTACTGGAAATACTGGAGGAAACACTTTGTAAAGTGTCGAATTGTCTAACCACTATGCTATCGACCTGAAAATAATTTTAAAAAAATATTATGGAATATAAACTGTAACTGAAAAATAAAATTTTATTGTAAATAAATAAATTACAGACAGCCCTACTAGTGGGAAATATTGTGTACATCATAAAACAGACATTTCAAAGGCTGATTTTTTAAAATGATTTACATTAATGCTCTAACAATTTCCTCCCACCCCTGAATGAATCATCTTGGGCACCAAGCATGTGTATGCCCAATGGGGAGTCCACTGACCCAGAGGATGGAGGATGGGGCTGGGGGAAGACAGGGACAGCAGCTGACCACCCTCCCACTGCTCCTGGCCCAGGGAGGGGAAGGCTGAGCCTCGGCCCCACAATGGGATGGACCAGGGCTGGCGATGGGAGGGCGGGAGGGCGGGAGGGCACATGGGCTCGATTCTGCTTCTGGTCTTCGCTCACTGAAGTACCCAGACCTGAAGGGCTCACCTTGTTCTTGATCTTCCTCCGGATTTTCTTCAGTGCCTTCTCCTCTGATTTTGTCAGGGGCAGCTTGGTGGGGATGGGATAGCCCTCGGCAACCAGTGTCCTCTTCTCCTCCTCTGTCAGGACCAAGGGGCCTGAGCCCTGCAGTTTCTGTGCAAACCCAGGAGCAGAAGGAGGTCAGAGAGGGACAGCTGGGCACGCTGAGGCCAGCCCTCCAGAGGGGTGAGAAGGCTGTTATAAGATCCTCTCAAACAGCCGAGGGAAAAGGCTGCCCATCTGCTCTTGCTGAGGAACAGGTACTTTGAAGTTGTAGCAGAAATGAAGAAGAGCCAGGCTGCCGTGGCTCAGTGGTTGAGCATCGACCTATGAACCAGGAGGTGACAGCTCAGTTTCTGGTCAGGGCTCGTGCCCAGCTTGCAGGCTTAATCCCAGTGCGGGGTGTGTAGGAGGGAGCCGATTCATCATTCTCTCTCATCATTGATTTCTGTCTCTCTCTCCTTCTCTCTTCCTCTCTAAAATCAGTTTTAATAATAATAATTATTAAAAGAAGAAGAAGAAGAAGAAGCAGAAGAAGAAGAAGACATCTCCCCTTCCCTTCAGGAGGCCCAGTTCAAGTCTTCCCTCCCACGCTAATGCCTCCCCTTCTCATGCAAACTCACTTAAATTCTATTTCTCCAACATTTTAAATTTTTCTTGAGTTAGTTTTACCATTCAGCATTGAACCACTCTCATCCGAAGAAGAGGAAGAAGAAGAAGGAGGAGGAGGAGGATGAGGAGGAGGAGGAGGAGGAGGAGGAGGAGGAGGAGAAAAGGAAGGAAGGAAGGAAGGAAGGAAGGAAGGAAGGAAGGAAGGAAGGAAGGAAGGAAAGAAGAAAGGGAGAAGACTCTCTCGCTGAGTGTTATAACTCAAGGATTATAATTCAAGGGAAAGGTCAGGAGACCACCCCCACTATTTCTCAGAAAGCACCCCACCAGCCACAATGTCCAAAGTAAAGGACAGGATTCGTTTCACACATCTCTGGAGATTGCTCGGCCTTGAGGTGACGAGAATGTACTTGGAAGAGAGTTTTGCTGTTGCTCCTGAAGACGCAGTTCTGTGGAAGGCTCTCTACACACCAGGGGCTGCTTCCAGTTCTCCGCTCACTGCTAAGCAGCCAGGGCTACACCCATGGGCCCGTTCCATGAAGTTTCTAACTTTAGTTACAGTCCCAGATGGTCCATCAATTGAGCTTGAGAATTGTCGCTCATCTCATTTAACCCATAATAGAACAATGTGTTTATAATTAGTCAAAATGTGTGTCTATGTGCTTACTCCATGTTAAATGCCACTGAGGACTCAACACAACTCCATCTTTCCAGGAGCTTCTGATCAAGACTGAGACTGCACTGATACACAGGAAAGGATGAGAGCGGTTCAATGCTGAAGGGTAAAACTAACTCAAGAAAAATTTAAAATGTTGGAGAAATAGAACTTAAGTGAGTTTGCATGAGAAGGGGAGGCATTAGCATGGGAGGGAAGACTTGAACTGAGTCTCCTGAAGGGAAGGAGCGATGTCTCCAGAGAGGGGGCCAGTCCAAGCACAAGGCAGTATTTTGAAAAGTAAGGATGCTCCTCTGCCCAGAGCGGGAAAGGAGTTCTTGCAGCTGCAGAGAGCGGAGCTAATGCAGGGGGCGGAGCTAATGCAGAGGGTGGGGCTAATGCAGAGGGCGGGGCTAATGCAGAGGGTGGGGCTAATGCAGAGGGTGGAGCTAATGCAGAGGGCTTGGCAGCAGCAGGGGAACACACCTGGTGTGGAGAAGGGCATTGGAGGATCCCCCAGGAGCGTGACGAAGGGACAAGCTGTGGGGGGACACAGTGCAGAGGATGAAGGCTGTGCTTGTAACCATATGGGTCAGCTTAGAGTTGAGACAGAGTGGAAAGAGTTCATTCCCTGGTCCTTAGTGGTGGTGATATAAGAGGCTGTGGCCGGCCAGAGAACTTACTGGGACTAAATGCAAATTTTCAAAATAATGCTGATAGGCAATTTTTACAGAATTTTTAATTATAATCCGATTTCATTCAAATTTCTTTATTTGATATTATAAATTCAATAAATTGGTGACGGTGTTCAAGAATTAATGGAAACCAATTAATTCCTCTAGAATAAGAAGTTAATGATCTACCCCTATTTTTTATTTGGAAAATGGTACCCTTATGTATACTAAGGATGAACGGTGCCATGACTTCTAACTTGTCTCTGGGTTAAAAGGAGTACCAGGCGGGGGGTGGGGGGTGGGGGGGGGGGGGGTGGGGGGGGGGGGAAGGGGAAGGTTAAACTACCTTTTTAAGCTTTAGACACCAAAGCATTTAATCCCTGAGAGATTTTTAAGTTCACCAAAGATTGCTTATTTAAAAACAAGGGCATTTCCTACTGCAGGTCATAATAAGGATCACCTACATGGATGTAAACACGTGTAAGATGATTCAGAGGAGAAAAACAACGCACTTGTATTCCTCATGCCACAGCCGTGTAAAATAAACATAGGAACAAAATGGGAGGCGTGCACAGGAAGAGAACCAGGTAAGATGACGAGCCATTCCTTAAAACGTTCTGTAAGATTACCACCTGCTTTAGACCTAGAACTTTCTCACCAGAATTCTAATCACGTGGCCTAGAATGGCATCCACTCAGGGTGAGGGGCCAGATGACAGAATGCAAAGAGCTCCTGTCCCAAGATGGCGAAGACTTACATGAGGCGCTGTGAGGAGCGGGGAACTGGAGAGGGCCGAGGGGGCCCGAGGCACCACCCGGGCTGGGCCGTGGGTCTGAGGCAGGCCAAAGGGGTGCAGGCGCGGGTTGGGGCTCAGGCTGCCCTCGGAGTCACTGCTGTGGCTGCTGGGAGGGGTGGGCGGCAGGTGCAGGTGGTCCACGGAGGCTGAGGGACAGAAAGCAGGTTCCACACATCAGACAGCAGGCAGCCGGGCAGGATTCTCGGCAGCTAAACAACCTACACATCCACACAGCGGGACGTGGGGCGACTGAACAAAGCAACGAGGATCTGCACGGGTTGATACAGAAAGATCTCCACGACGTATTGTTAAAGGGGAGTGGGGGGAAACCAAGGTGCAAAGAGTATATAAAGTAGCCCTCCTTTCATATGAGAAAGGAGAAAAGAGACTACAGAGTTATATTTGCTGCATCTGCATAAAGCAACGCTGGAAAATAAAGAAGAAACTAAACAAATGATGATCTCATGGCAGGGGTGATAGGGAAAGTGCTGGCATAATTTTTCGCTGTATTCATTTTGTATCATTTTTATAGTTGGATTTGTAAACCTTGTAAATGTATTATAATTTTTTTTTTTTTTTTTTTTTTTTTTTAAGAGCAAACCCTAAGAGTCCATGAGGGTTTGAGAAAAGCTCATTTGTCTCTGGAGGAATGTGCACAGTAGGCCCGCAGGTGAAATGCCGGGCACTCTTCATTCGAAAGTACTAAATCCACCTGTAGACAGGTAGGCACTGGAAAATAAAGAGGGGCAGAGGGGCTTTCTCCTGCATAGTCCCCCATCTTTGAGTCCATCCTTTGCCCATCTTCAAGGAGGCACACGCACCCTCCTGGAGCCTGGGAGCCTGGGTCAGTATTAGATGGATGGGTTCCAAAAGAGAGAATCCACTCTCAGTTCAACCTGACAGGCAAGCTCTGGGGTCTCCCTCCTTTGAATGGCGGACCTTCCCGCTGTACCAGCCACAGTTTTTGAGCCAAGGGACACAACTTTGGTCAGCCTGTCACCTCACACCTCTCCTGGGGCCACCACAGTCCCTAGCACAGGGGCTCTGAACCCCGCACGGTGCTGGGTGCCTCACACACACTGAGGCTGGCTTGGCCAGAGAACTGCCAGGGGTTGTAAACAAAAAGGGGACATGCAATAAACCTGGCAAGCTCCACAAGGCAGGATTGTCTGACTGTAAATCCCTCACTGGGCAGGCCTGGTACGCCTTCACCTCCCAGGCCTACAGCTTCCTTAGCAAAGGTCAATCTTTATCTTAAGGGCGCTCTGCCCACTGTTCTTATGCAGCTCGGATAACATATCTTTGAAATGTCAGCGTAATCTCCTTTGCTTACGCCTTGAGGGCCCAACCACCCACACCAGAGCCAAGACCACAGAACCCTCAGTGCTATCTTGTTCCCCCCATGCGTTAATGATTAACCATCTTGCACCCACCAATGGAGAAGTGAGTTCCCCCACTTTGCCTTTGATCAAATCCCAGAGATTTCCCCCTTCACTTTTCCCCACTGCCTCATTCTACCAGCAATGGGTTTCATGTAACCCTCCTTCCGTCTCCTCTTCGATTCTAATGTATAAAACGAGGTGCAATTCTCTGGAGCGTTTTCTCAATCTGTTGAGATTTCCTTCCTGGCAATTGTCGTCAGTTTGGCTCAAAAAAAAAAAAAAAAAAATCTTTACAGTTTGGACATTTCTTACATCAACAGGCCATGGGAAGGCCTCAGCCTTCTCCTCCTCTTCAAATAAAGGTCTGATGCGAAGTCTGTGAAAAGGGCCTAAGATAAACGGCCCCACCCAGAGCTGCCTCTGGGACGGCTCATCCTCCCATGAAACACCTGAGTGTCTGAGGGAGAGGCGGTAAGTCAGGGCCCACTCAGCCACCCCTTTCAGCCACGGGGTCCCATCTCCATTCACAGCCCACATTCGTTTCTTTATCTCCCTTATTCTCTCTCTCATCCTAACCCTTCTTTTCTCTTTTTCTAACACACTTCTTTTTGCTAGATGCTTCCCCTTTTCTCTGCCAAAAAGCTCCCTGGGCTTTTTAGTGTCTATAGGTAGTCTTAGGGCTGAAGAATATTCTAAGAACAAGCCTATATACCGCTAATGCCAACTCCCCTGCCAACAGTTCCAGGCAGCTAAGGAGGGTAGGTATGCACCTAAACTATGTGCTCACCCAGAAAGGAGTCCTGAGTGTGTTTGCCATGGTTTCCCCAGCGCACGAATACCGATGGCACTTGATGGTGTTAAATGAACTCAACAAGGAGGCCATTGTGCCGAGGCGCCTCCGGCGCTGCAGCGGCCTGCGGCCTACGTAAGCAGCCCAGAGCCAAACCCGCAAAGGCTTCAAGGTTACCGAACCGAAACCTGAGGACACCCACTACAAACAGCCAATGAGGCCGCACGCTACAGCCAGCAAGAACCTGCTCAGCCCTTTGCTCTGCCCCTTCTCTGGGAGTCTCTCCCCAGCTCGCTGGTGGAGCACTTCTAACCGCTTCCGGCTTGGTGCTGCCCGGTTCGATCAACTTTACTCAAAATAAACTCAAAATGCATAATATGCCTCAGTTTACCTTTCAATAATGCTTCTAAAAAAGCACTGTAAAGTGCCTGTAAACAAACTAACAACAACAAAAACCAGAGCAGACGTGGGGCTGTGTGTGACATTCTGGAGGACCAGCCAGGAGTTCCTCCGTGCTAACTGTCCCTTTTAGTTGGCACAGCCCAAATTATTCTAACACTTTTCTCCTTTCTAAACAGAGGGTGACCCACAAACAAACAAACAAACAAAATAAGACAGGAAAAAAATGAATTTCCTCTTTCCTACCCGTGAAGAGTTACTGACTTGGCCACAGGTACCTTAGTATCAGATGTCTAAATACCATTTGAAATGCAGCTCTCAGGTTACGAAAAGGGCTGGGGCATCAGCGGCTCTGCCTAGAAGCTGGAAGGCCTTCAAGGATATTGGATTTCCTGATCTGTTTGTCAGGCTATCAAGGAAGGGCTGCTGTTCACTCTCCAGACACCTCTCCTCCAGTGACCCGGATTCCGAGGCCACCCTGGGACACACTCGTAGTTACCAAGCTTTCTGAAGCAGATTGCAACAGAAATGAAAACAGCAACTTGTATTTGATAATAATACCGGAGCCATAAAAATGAAGAAAACAGCCGTATCTAAAGCTGAAAGGCACAAATGTAATAGTGTATCACCCGGAGCAAAGAAATACTGTCTCAATATGGACTCTGGTCAACATTATAAGCTTTTAAATTAAATCTTTTTTTAAATTGATAATAAAGGCAAACACATTATTACCCTGATTAAATGGTCGCAATCAAATCCTAGCTTAGTTTCTAGAGGAATGAGGGAGGACTGTGTGTCCATGAGAACTGCTCATATACACATTACGTGTGTACCACAGCACACATACCTCTATGGCAAGCACATATACGAATTGCTTATCTGCTGACCACACTGATGCACTAGCCTTGAATAAATAAAAAGGAGGTCACCGCATGGCTGCAGGCCCAGAATTAAGAAGAGCAGGATCTGCAGGAGGATCTCTCTGACCTTTACTAATCTCGATGCGACTCAGGGCCTGTGGTCAGGATTCCTAACTATGGGCTTGCTGTGAGAACAACAGGGAGACCTCAGAAAGAAACTGACATAGGGACAGAAAAAGGGAAATTATGCCAATGTCAAGTGTGATGCTAAGTTCTGAATAGGTGACAAGAAGCCCATGAGGTGCACGACCATTACAGACAGTGAGTAGGCTCCGTGCAACTGCTGTCATCCCAAAGCCACCTTGGAGACAGGGACTGATCGACAGATAGACTGTGAATTCACTCCACGAAGCGTTTTGGCTAGAGCTGTGTCAGTGGGTGACTGGGGGAGGTCTGCCTCTCTGTCTCTAGGGGTCACCACGCCCCATGGGAGCTGGCTGTGTGCACAGGTTCCCACCAGGACGGCAGGAGGCCCCCATGCTCTTGTTTCTCTCCATCCAGGTCACAGCCGGCTAGAGAGGTTCTGAACAGTCACCCTGGCGAGGAGTCCAAGTACCGTAAAGCATTTAGGGGGAAGTGAAGCCTGTACATATATGAAAAAAATAAAATGCAGCTTTCAAAGTTTGTATGTAGAATCAAGGTTTTTAAGAACAAAGCTAGTTCATGAAGCAACCTGTGGCTTTGGAACCGGCTGGGCCCAGCACTTGCTCCCATTGCCTTTCTCTTCTGACCTGCACCAACCCGAAGGGGCCCAGGAGAAAGACAGACCTTCTTTGGGAGAGAAGTTTAGGAACTGATCCACTTCGTGAGGCTCCAGCTTAATCTTAGGGATGACTGTCTGGCACGAGGAATCAACCTAGAGGAAGAATTTCAAACACAGTTTTTTTTTAAAAAAAAAAAAAACAACAGTAACAACCTCGATGAAACACACAAGGGAGCCATTTGTCATTTCTGAGGGGCAACCCCGTGTCTCTGGAGCCAGCTGTACACAGGTGACTTTGCCAGGGAGCTGGTTTAGCCTTACACCCCCCTCTCACTGCCAAGCCTGGCATTCCAGCGGATGGAACACTCAGAATCCTCAAATTAAAAGCCCAGGGCTCACTTACTAGTCCTTTCTCTACTATTTTTACAGGAATAGAAATGCTTCTTATCACAAAGTAGTCAGAAATTTTTGATGAGCCACAGGCCTGCAGCAGTTCACGCAGAGTAAGCGCTGGGCGAACCACCCTCATGCTCTCCAAGCTGCCTGACGACTGGTGACACGTACCCATGGACAGTTCGGTAGGAAAAAGAGAAAAGGTATCTGGTCCATGCATAGGGAGCAAGGCCATGACCCTGACCTTTCTAGCTACTTGAAACCATCTGAACTAAAGTCTACAGGCAGGAGCCCCATCCAGTGAGGAGACTCAGGTAGCTACTGAGCAAGGGGCTCTCGAGGGCAGCTGCAGATACTCTGCCTACTCCCTGTCTTCTCATTGATGGAATGGAAATCGCAATGAGAATGAGCGGGCAGCCAAGTGGGGGTGGCACTACTGCTCTGTGCCACCTTGTCCTGAACAGGTAAATGACTACATCTTGCTCAGAGGAGATCTAACTTAAAGAATGTCAGTGGAGCTGAAACCTGTTTGGCTCAGTGGATAGAGCATCGGCCTGCAGACTGAAAAGACCCAGGGGTTCAATTCTGGTCAAGGGCATGTACCTTGGTTGCGGGGACATCCCCAGTAGGGGGTGTGCAAGAGGCAGCTGATTAACGATTCTCATCGATGATTCTAACTCTCTATCCTTCTCTCTTCCTCTCTGTAAAAAATCAATAAAATATATATATATTTTTTAAAAAAAACTGCAAAAGAATGTCAGTGGAGTCACTGTTTTTCACCTGAGACTTTAAATTAAGGAAAGTGAGGACTTGCTTTAACATCTGTAAGAAGATGCACAAGTTTTGATTCTGGTCTATTGGCAGACACTGGAAATACCCAGAGAGAAGGTAAAATTCTACCTGCTGTCGGCATGGAATAGAGCAAGGAAGAAATTCCCAATTTCTTATACTTTCCATGGGCAACACTATAAGAATTGGTAGGTGTGTGACCCAAGAATTGAGCCATTGCAACTCAGCATTGTAGTAGGAAAGTAAAATATTGCACAGGCACTAGCATTCCCAATCGCCGTGGCTCTGTAAAGCCATGAACTGCCCCATCATCTTAACCAGGACCTTTCCACTGCCTTAAAAATCAATACATGGAGAATTTCCTTTATTTACCATGGATATCCACCTGTGGGTTTATTTTGTAATAGCAATCATATAAAAAATAAATCATACTTGCTACCAATTTTTCTGGACAATGCCTTTAAAGGAAACTATATAATCAATGCTGACACTAAATCAACATATCCTTGATACATATATATAGACAGGCAGACAGACATAGTTAGCTATCCTCAGATATATACAGCCACTAGCTCCAAACAGATTAAATGCCTTATTAGAGAATGAGAAGCTAAGTCTTTTTATCTCATTTGTTTACATGGAAGACAATTGAGTGTACCCCAGTATTCATTTCCAGAGGAGGTTCCTCCTTTTCGAACGGGGTGGAGATGGCTGTGATGGTCAGAGTGACAGAGGGAACAAGTCCTGGGGGTGACTCCTCCGTAATTGGCTCCGTCTTGATGGTGGCTGAAGGAAATTCGGCAGACAGGTACCATTTCTCACTCTCCACTTCATCTGTGGGAAAAAGACAAGCACACCTGTGAAGTGGCTCAAGGCATCAGGCATAAGTAAAACGAAGGACCACTCATTTTTCTCCTAAAAAAAAAAAAAGGCTCCAACAAAGAATGATTGAGAGTAGAATAAAAGGAAATACAATAAGAGCGTGGGAGAAAAGATACACAGATAGAGGAACCAATGGCAAAGTAAGAATCTATACTTGCATTCATGTGAGTGTCATACACTTAAGAAAGAACCTTGGCTTCCTGTACAGGCAGGAAGGAAGCTGGGAGGATGGAAAAGAGAATAAGAGGGAGAATTTCAATGTGTTATGTTTTATACTTTTTGGTTTCCAAACCAAGTTAATATGTTATCTATTTAAAAAATAAATAAATAAGCACATTTAAAAATAATAAGAAAAAGAGGCCAAATGGTTGCCCACTAGGGTCTCAGGAGAGAGGACAGCAGACAATGGTCAGGAGTATCTTCCCCCAACGGACAGTTATTTTTTTTTTCCTTTTTCTTTTCTTTTTTTTTTTTCTTCTCAGTCTCTGTCTTTTGTCTTCTTTTGTTTTCCCACAATCCCTGCTTTAAACCAGACTTAGACGTCCAGAACTTTACTAGCCCTCTGGGAAACCAGAATTAGTCACAAATGCCTGACCTTGCCAAAACGGACTACATACGCATCCAGACAAAGGGTTGGGTCTTGGCAAGTCTTGAGTCTTGGTTTGCTACTGGCTTTCATGATCATGACCAGGCCTGGAGGTAGCAAGAAAGCAACACGACAGAGCAGACAGAAGCTCCTCTACCACTTAGCCCACACGTTCCGAGGACTCCGTACAGCACCGTGTTTCAGACCTACCGCCTCAGCCCAGCCCAGGGAGAGCAGGAAAGGAAAGACGAGATTGCCAACAAGCACAGAACAAGAAAAAAGCAACTGAGGGATTCTCCAGAATCAGCATTCCTTTCCTAATCCCAGCTTTACTAAAATGAGGAGAAAACAAAGCAGAGAGAGGCTCCCTGGCTTCATGAAGTATTTAAACACTCACACAGCATGCCTGGTGAGCCATGGCTGTTCAGGGCTCACACTATGAAATGATTTTACACTCAAGAACTGGGCTCAAGTTTTCTCGTGAAAAAGCACAAGGAAATCACCCACTACTGCCAGGGCTGGGAAGAGCGGGCACTGAAGCTAAAAACTAAAGTTTACAATCATGAAATGGTATTTCATAAGCAACTTCCTTCCAACACAGGGAAAGAGTGAGATTCCCATTCACAAAGGGAAATGATCTGAACCCTAAAACCAAATTATAATTGGCTTAATTATCCCAGCCCCAATTTAGTTCCTGAAGTAAAATGAAGAAGGGAGGAAGATGTTTGCGTTCGGGGCTAGCTCTAGAATGTTGCTGAGTGTGGTGGAGTGATGGGGAGTTTCCATCTTTCTGGGGTGAGTGCCACATCCTGGCAGAGGGGGAGGGGAGGGAACAAAGAGCCTTTGATGGCAGCCCGAGAAGGGAGACCACACTGTACTTGACACAGATTTCTGCTGGCCAGATGGGCGCCCAGCTCAGCTCAGAGAAGCAGCTGCATGAGGAGCCAAGTGCAGACTCCAAGGCCTCTCCCAAAAGGAGCTTTGGAGGGATACTGTCACCTGCAGGAAAGAGACAGTGAAGACAGATGTGGGGAAGGGTGGGAGAGACGGAGAGAGAGCAGAGATCACACTTTCTCCATTCAGCATGTATTGTAGATGTCTCCTCTGTCCACACTGGGCAATGTTTAGCTGAGACAGTATAATGAAATATACAGCCTCAGCTGATACTGGTTTGGCTCAGTGGTAGAGCGTCTGTCTGAGGACTGAAAGGTCCCAGGTTCAATTCCGGTCAAGGGCATGTATGTATGTTGGTTGTGGGCACATCCCCGATGGGGGGTATACAGGAGGCAGCTGGTTGATCTTTCTCTCTCATCAATGTTTCTAGCTCTCTATTTCTCTCTCTTCCTCTCTGTAAAAAATCAATAAAATATATATTTTTTTTAAAAAAAAGAAATATACAGCCTCAGTGTATATTAAAATTAACGGTCAGGTGACATCCCTGAGAAAAAGACCCATGCAATTACCAGGAAATTGTAGGGCAAGGCCTGATCCCCTGGTCATCAAGTTAGGATAACTGTGATGAAACTTAAGTCACAAGGCAAACATGAGAAAAGGCAAAAATAAACACAAAAAGCAAATACCAAGTTATGACAAAACGAAGACAGGTAAGGAAACTGGTTCCTCCAATCTCACTAAGCCATTCTCAAAGTGCACACTTCATAAAATACAATAGGTCCAGATGGTTTACATTCTCAATGTTCAGTGTCTTGTACCCCTGTTTTAAAAGAAACTTATCTATATAAAGTCGTTGCTCTCAGAGATGGAAACTGAAGGACAAATCATGATACTTGAACTAAAAAACAAAACTTCCTCAAACACAACTGAACTCTCTCCAGGGAGAAGCAGAGGAAGCTCCTCCCCTGAGCTTTTCTGAGGACAAACAACTGGCGCTGCCTTCATGCCTCCACTCCGCTAGAGTAATTTAGGCCTCTACTTGAAAGATACTGTTTGAGTTAGAAGTTTATGACCATCAAGTGCAAATATATCATTTTATAGATGAGGAAACTGGCATGCAAACACAGTGCAAATCATGGGAGACCCAGATCTCTGCACACCCAACCAGTATTCTTGCCATTAAGGAAATAGCTAAACATGCAGACAAATATTTGTGCACAAGTAGGTTCATGACAGCATTATTTTTAATCACAAAACACTGAAAATGACCAAAACACTAAAGAGCAAGGGCAAGGTTAAAGAATTATGGCACACCCATACAATGGAATATTTATATATCCAATAATATTACATACATCAAACCTCTTTAATAACATGGCAAATACTTATAATAAAATATTAAGAAACAAAACTGGATATTAATTTGTATACTATTCATGAAAAAAGTAATAGAAAAAAAGACTAAAGGAAATATGCTGAAAGCATATCTCTGGAGAATAATTCAGAACACATGTGACATTTTTGTCTTTAAATTTTATGCTATTTCTAAATTGCCTATACTGAGAATACACTGTATGTGGATGTTCACACATGGGGATGGCCTGCTTCTTCCTAGACTACTCTACACCTTAGGATGGTAATTATTAGATAGAAGCCCTAGTGGCTCAAGGTCCATTCAGCATCTTTTGAATTAACAAAAGTCAATGAGTACCTTAATATATTTGTAATAAATTGCAATATTTTTATTACTTTTTATTAAAAAGGCTCCAGCTATCCATGTCCTTTGCCATGTATCTTGTAGTACCCTCCTACTGTGGACTAATACCCATCTTAAGTCTGGCCATGCAATTTGATTTGTCCAATGAGATATTAGCTTCCCAACACAAGTGGAGCCTTACAATGTACTTACAGCCCTGGCCAGTGTGTCCCAGTGAATAGAGTGTCAGCCCATGCACAAGAGTCATTCCTGGTCAACAGCCTATACCTGGGTTGCAAGTTTAATCCCCAGCCCCAGTAGGAGCATGTGCAGAAGGCAATCAATCGATGTGTCTCTCTCACATTGATGGTCCGTCTTCTCCCCCCTAAGTCGCTCTCCTTCCCTCCCTTTCTCCCACTCCAAAAATCAATGGAAAAAATATCCTCAGATAAGGATTAACAAAATAACAACAACAACAACAAGAACAACAAATGCATTTGCATAGCTGGAGTTACACTCTTGTACTTTTGCCATCATGGAGAAGGATGTGTCAGAACAATCTATTGATCCCAGGGGAATGACAGACACACACAAGAGAGTTACCCCCAAAGAAGCCTGGCTAAACTTAGCCAACTCTCAGCTGGCGTTAGACATGTGAGTTCATCCAGCAAAATCACTCAGCTGCCCCTCACCACCACCAAATCAGCCAGCCTCCAGCCAAGGCTCAGACATGTAAGCCATAATAATAAATGATTGTTGTTAAAGCCTGTACATTTTGCATTTTTTATTATGAAGTAACATAGCTAGCTGATACAATATAATTGAATATATATATACAGGAAATTAAGTCATTACATCAGAACCTATTGCAACCAAATAGTTATACCTCATTTCCATAAATAATTCCTCTAAACTATCAATTGTGGACCATATTAATTCATATTTTTCGACTGACTCATTAGGCCTACCCGTTATGTCACAGAACAAATGAGAAGAAAATCAGCCAGTAAGAAACCTGGTGAGAACAAACTTTTTGTAAATTAAATAAGTATGCCTCATCTAAATCCCTCAGCACTCCAGTGGCAGTTGGACTTGGAGAAAAGGGCTTTCATTCTGAACTACTGGGTGTTGGCTTGTACTCTGTCCCTCAGTGGAAATAAATACCAAAGCAGAGAAAACAACATGACAAATGTAACCTATGAGGTATGAGGTTAACAAAGGATAGAGTAAAAGCGAATGAGTAGGACATGTATTATACTATTCCACCCGACCTTATTTTCATATTTTTATTTTTTGGCAAAAAAGATCAGCAAGACCACCATGGCTTAGAACTGGACTCATCCTTAGATGTTTGGGTTATTGGCTAAACTACAAAAGCAAGTGTCAACACATATGCTACACCCTCTAATTTCTAAAGCTTGAAGCTCAGATACTGAGTTTAAAATTTTTCTTCCAAATTGTGTTCACTCGCCTTTTAAGTTTCATTGCAGAAGGAGAGTATCACCCAATAAGGTCAGTAGTGCACACAGTGGGGAGTGAGAAGAACCCCTGCCTGTCATCTGATTTCATTTAGACAGCTTCCTGTCAGAGGTCACACTCAGCCGGCACTTTGCCTCAACATCACCACTCAGCTATCAGCAAGAAAATAAAAACAAGCCACTGTCACATGATGATGAGCAAGTCCTCCACAGCCAAGGACAAAATGGAGCAGCGTGAGCCATGGGACTGGACGCCAGGGGCATTCACACAGCTGGGTAGTAGAGGAGCTGAAGAAGA